AGTTCTCTTACCCCTTTGCGCAAGGAAACAGGGTGTCAAAGAGAACACTTTTAACACAGAAAAGTTAAAACCACCTAAATGTCCATTACCTAAAGAATGGATAAGAAAGTGGTTACCTCTGTGGACAAGGAAGGAGGTGTAACCGAGAGAAACATAGGCAGTTTCATTGCACTGTGTAGAATTCTTAAGCTAAGGATTGGGTGCATGATGTGTATTAAATCTCTGTTTCTATTCATGTGTCTAGAAGATGTCATAAATGTTAAATGTGTTTTTAAAAAATGAATCCAGCAATAAATCATAGTTATGCTCTAGAAAGAAACTCAAAGATTATGATGCAGAAAGAAGGTTAAGGGCTTGAGCTCTTTATCCTAAAGATGCCCTTCCCCTCGGGTTACAACCTAATTTAACTCTGGAACCTGGGAATCACTCAGAGATGGTGTCCTAGAACTAATTCTTTGTTTTGCCAACACAGAGAATATATCAAAAACAAAACAAAGCAATAAGGCAAAACTTAAAAAGCAAAAGAGGGCCCTCCTTGGCAGCTCAAGGAATTAAACCACAGCACTATGAAGCTATCCAGAGCCACTGCAGCGCAAGTTTGATCCCTGGCCACGGAGCTGACCCACATGACGCAGCCAGACCTCGCCTGTCTTGCACACTTCTCCCCTCAGCAGTGTATTTCAGTTGATCTGCCTGTTCTGTTCCCCACTCTGTCTCTCTGTTGAATTCTCTCACCCCCCACATCCCCTGCCCTGTACCTCTGTCTGTACCCCAGTTTTTAAATGCATTAATATCTTTTTAAAAGCAAAGGAATGAGCAGAAATAAAGGTTAATGGCAAAAAAAAAAAAGAAACAAATGGAGATAAACCAGCAAAAGAATTTTTCATAGGCAATTGCTGCCCGCCTCCACCTCCCAAGAGTCACCCTAAGTGTGAGGTTCTGTCATACTGATTTCTAAGCCATTTGTACTGATTTCCAAGCCATTTGAGATAGATCTCATGTTCTCATTGCACAACAGACTGGTCACCACTTCCAAAGCATTCTACACAGATTATTACTAGAGTCGAACCCAAATTTTGCTTTAAAAAACACAATGAGTGAAGACAGCAATGCTAAATGAAGACAGTAATGCTAAAGGAGGAAAATATTCCTTCAGTTTCTATCCCAGAGGGCTCTGAGCTCCAGTCCTGGCTCTCACTAGCATTAAAATTCAGGGCAAAGGTAAAGGGCTTGCTGGCCCAAGTGAAGGGCAGAGATCCCTGTGGCTTCTCTAGGTCATAGGTAGCTGGAAGAATCTGGTCAGATCTGGCCCTCAAAGCCAAAGCGCAAGCCAGGCTGCTTTTCACCACTTTGCTTGGAGCCTCTCTCTGAGCTTTGAGCCTCTGCAGTGCACATACTCAAAGAAGAGCAAACAAATCTAGTTAACCTGCTTTATTCAAAGGGCTATTTTATTATTTTATTTCCTGCTCTGTTTTCTCCAGCATATTTCTTGCAGTTTAGTTTTCCACATCAATTTCTTTTGTTATTGTTGCTTGCTTTTTGTTTGCACTTAAAATAATCAGTTTTGGTTTTCTCTTTTATTTCAGTCAACGTTATTTTATTTCCATACATTCTGTGATGCATCACAAATAATCTTAATTCAATCCATAACTAACACTTCCTATTTTGATAAAACATTTGTGGGAATATTTCTTATCAGTTCAGTGAGTCAGACTTTTCAATAATCAGGATTTTTAGTGTCCTTCTGAGTTTACTAAAATTAAAAGATACTGTCATAATTTGGTATTGTAGAAGCTGACTTGTTAAAAATCTTTTTTTTTTAAGATTTATTTATTTATTCATACAGAACTGGGGTACAGGCCAGAGATGCGAAGGGTGAGAGGATTCACCAGAGACAGAGTGGGGAAGAGAACAGGCAGATCGACAAAGTTCACTGCTGAGGGGAGCAGTGGGCGGGTCAGTAGAGATCTGCCTCCAGGGTAGGCGGGGATAGAACTCACACGGAATTGGCTTAAGCTTCTTTGTGCTGTGTTTTAACCCGCTGCGCCACCAGGGAGGGCCCTGTGTTAAATCTTAAGGGAGTACTTTTTCTTCAGGCACGATATTTGCAACTGTTACCAAGTTACCTAGATGACTGGCTATTCCCTTCAACCAATGGAAGTCACCAAATAACTCTTAGAAAAGAGAGTAAACCGTAAAGACTCCTTGGGGGCTGGTTGTGTTTTGTTGGAAGCATATTATTGGTACTGCAGCCTTTTGTAAAAAATTAATTTAATCCTTCTTTGATCTCCTTCCACAAATAAATAAAACCAAACAAATGAAACCCCAATATAATCACCACCAATAAGGCAATGACAGTAATAAGGGCTGTGGCTCATGCGTAGGAAGGCTTAAATGGGCTTTGTATAAAATGCAAAAGAATCATGGATTCCTGTGATTACAATGGAATTAAGAGGAGTTACTCCCAGTGCCTTCTCAGACTGGGGTGAGGCACTCTATCACTTCTGCTGATCACCAGACCCAAGTGAACAGTAGAACGTTACACCCTGAACTGGAAGCATAGGTGAAGCACCTTTAAAAATATCTTACTGAATTTTGCCTTTGCTAAAGGGCAGAATCCAGTCAGTTGGAAATTTCTTTTTTATAAAACTAACTTACTTGCAGTCAGGGGACATGTTGCAATTTAGCGTTTTCCTCACACTTTACACTGACTGATTTTGTAGGTAATTCTTTTAATATATAAGTGGACAGAAAAGTGCAGTGAACTACTTACTAACTATACAGACTATATGCCCATGTCAGCCAGGCTTAACCCTGTAAGAGCAAGTTAATCAACAATATTACTTTGGTAACAGCTAGGCGGTCATACATTAAATTATTAACACATGGTTCCAGAATAAGTACAGAGCTAGCAGTCTCAACTGGGGCTGCAAATCAAAACTAGGTTAACTGTCAGGTATCTAACTTGTCTTCAAGATACTGATTCAGAAGATCTGGTGTAGGGCCCGAGCAACTGCATCTAAAGCAAGCTTTCTAAGTGATTCTGAGCAATGGCCGGTAGACATTTCTAGCAGGTACTCAAACAAAGAATACTAGACAGAAGACAGTGGGACCCAAGCACTGTGCTAAAGCCATACAAAGGGCCTTTTGCATCTTTACAAGATATCAATTTTTAGTCACCCTGGTGGCACAATGGGTTAAAGCGCTGCACTGCAAGCTGGCCCAGCTGCTTCAATATGGCCCAGCTGCTTCAATATGAGTTCTTCCCAAGCCCCAGCTGTAACCCCAGGCCTGGGAGGTGATACACATGGCGCAGATCTCCTGTCTTGCCAGCTGCTCCCCTCAGCAGTGTATTTCGTCCATCTGTCTGTTCTGCTCCCCACTCTGTCTCTGGTAATCCTCTCACCTCCCCTGCACCTCTGATCTGTACCCCAGTTCTATATGCATAAATAAATCTTTTAGAAAAAAAAAGCTGTCAATTTTATTTGATGGTTCACTAGCTTAACATGTCATTTTAATTTTGGGTGGTGGTTATGTAAGTATATACAATTGTCAAAACTCATCTAACATTTAAGTTTTTGCATAATTTTGTAGACTGTTCCACCTCAATAAAAAGATCATCTTTATACCAAAATATGGGTACACTCAGGAGAAGAATGCAAGGTCTGTATTTATTTTTTAGTTGAACTCAGTTGAACTCTGAGACTTCAAAGAAACCCCCTATTCAATGCGCTACCGCAGCAGAAGCCCCAATATTCTAGGGATCCAACAATTTCACTCTCTTCTGCGCGGTGTCATTTAGAAGATGAAATGCAGAAGGGGAAATCTTTCGGAAGGGCCCAAAAACAACAGACTGAAAATCTCTGATGTATAAAACCTTTCCCAGTATGTATCATTCATTCCACCACACATGATCTGCTCCCCCTTTTTTGTCTCTTTACCTTCTACATATTATCTTTTTGCTTTAAAGTACTCCAAATTTTCAAAAATTTAAAGTTTCACTCTGCTATGACTGGAGATTCTGTTTATTGCCATTGAGTAACAGTTTAATGATCTGAGATGGTAGCCTCAAAAACTACACAACACAAGCACTAAAAAAAAAGAGGGGAAAAAAACTTAAAAGACTCTTAAAAACGTGTTTGAAAAGGTTATCGGGTGCAGGAACTGGTTGTAGACAAACACTGAATCTAACAATCATGAAAACTCACACTCCATGACTTTGGAAAGACAATGTCTGGAGAGTAACGTGGTTTAGCAGCAAGGGTGAGAGAAAACAAAGCAATAAAGTAACGTGCCCTTATCACCTCTTGCAGCCTAAGCGCCCAGGCTGGGTAGTGTCTGAGGCACGTTCTGGGTCAGATTACTCTGCACAAGTTACTTTATCTCTTGCTTGGGAACTCTGTGTCCTTATCTATAATAGGTGCAGAGTACACCTTTTCTTGCGGATTTCAGCAACCGGTATTACTAGGCTTTCCGGATTGCGAGGCCAGAAAGTTGAGAAAACATGAATCAGAAGCGTGCAAGTAAAATCCTGGAAAACGAGGGGACTCCGAAGCAAGTCAACACGACACAAACACGACTTCGACGCCGACGCGGACGCTCCCAGCCAAGCCCCAGCCCCCAGCCCCAGCCCAGCCCCGACCCGGGAGCCTCTGCTCAGCATTTGCGCAGAACCCACACCGCGGGACGGTCCCGTAGCGCCTGCGCCACACACACCCCCCCCCCCCCACTCAAGCGTTAGCGCACCTGACACCCCGCTATGCGCATGCGCCACTCGCCCGTCGCGGCAGCCAAAGGGCGCGAGACCGTAGTCGGACCGTGGCGAGAGGCCTCCGGGGCCGGCTTCTTACCTCCTGGGCATAGGCCACTGCCTTTGGCTAGTCCCGCCTCCTCCTGACTCTAAATCCGCGAATGGGGGAGCCGGGAAGAGCGCCCCGTCCTGATTGGAGCTGGGGTGTGTTTACATTCCCACCCAGAAAGTACTTTAAGCCCAGCCCGCCTCTTCCTTCCCGTCCTTTGGGGCGGTTGGCTGCCCTCCCGTCCGTCAGAGCAGGGCTCCCACAATTGGCGCGCCGCTGCCTTCGGGGTGTCTCTCCCTTGCTGGGTGACTCCGTGACCACTTGTTGTCGACCGCGGGAGCAACTCGCACTTTCAGGTGGACGATGCCGAGCGGTAACGCCGCAGTGCGCGGTGACGGCAACGAGGAGGAGCAGGTGGCCGGCGCCAAAGTCATCGCCCAGGCCCTGAAAGCTCAAGTACGAGTGGCCGCCAGAGTGGAGGGCGCCGACGGAAGCCGGCGTGGGCCGAGCGGTTGTCTTGGCGACGCGGGGGCGCGTGGGGGGCGGGCGGGTGCGAGTCTGGCCATTCGGTTTTCCCGGAGCGCCGAGGGAGGAGAACCTGGTGGCGGGTCCCCGGCATTCATTCCCCTGTTCTTGCCCCCCAGCATGTGGAGTACATGTTTGGCATCGTAGGCATCCCGGTGATCGAAATCGCCGCGGCAGCCCAGGAAGTAGGCATTAGATACGTCGGGATGAGAAATGAGCAAGCGGTAAGTGTGCACGCTGGGAGCCCAAGGCACTCCGAGAACGAGCAGGAACCGTGCAGATGTCCATTGCAAACACCTAGCTTCTACACCGTTCTAGGACTTTACACACATCAATCTCAACCATTCCGTGAGGCAAGGAAAGGCTCGTGTTAATAGACAAGAGACATGGAGAGGTGAGCGCAGTCAAGGGGACCACTGGTAGCGGCAGGGCCAAGATTTGAACTTCGGAATTCTGGGTCTGAAGTGGGTGCTGTCACACGACATGGCACTGCACTCTGCCAGGTGTGTCAGAACTGGAAGGGACAGGCCATCTGTATCCCAACTTGTAGCTAGCTACCTGTTGTTACCAGTCGGTTTCTGGGCATTATTTGTCTAGTCTAACTTCCCTGTTAGGTCGTGAGCTCCGAGATGGCATCGATATTATTTATTCTCGACATATTTACACTTCCCACCCCATCTACAGGTGATGCTCAGGGAGTACCTTTGGGATGGAGGGGGAAGGCCAAGTTCTCGTGTTATGGTAGACGGCCCTGCAGGGAATAAATAGGATGTCACAAATGGTAAAGCCATGACCGATCCTGTGGACAGGTCCTAAATCTCAGTCCAGGACATGTTCCCCCACATCACGCTGCCGCTTCCTTAGAGGTTTATTATTTGGAAGTATGAGGGGAACAGGACATTTTGTCAAACTAGCCTAACCCTTCTCTCAGCAATCACTTAAAGGATAAGGAATCCACCCTTGAGAGTCACATCCTGCCAATTCCTCTAACACTAACTACCCCCGCTTTCCACTCCTACTGTTGCTCTCCAATGCCGGTTCTTGCCACCTCTGACCCAGACAGCTGCCTTCACCTACTGTGGTCCCCTCTTTCTGCCATCAGATGTGAGCTGCAGAGCAGGAACTGGGGTTGCTCTTACTCTGATCCCACAGTGTCTGACTTTTGCATGTTATGGATGCTTACAACAGGTGTTTCTTTCTTTTTTTCTGTTTATTAAGTGGCATTACTTACAAGATTTGAACATTTTCCTTTTTTTTTGTTTTGTCTTGAAACTAACAGTTATTGAGTTTATATTACTTCAATCTTTTCCTTTTCCTGGGATAACATTCTGTTCTTTGTGTGAGAAGACGACTCCACTGACCTAAGTGTGGGACCTTATATTTTACTGTTTTTCTAGAGGTGGTAGCTGGTTTTTTCTTCACATAGCAAATATATAGCTTGCCTACTCGGTACCTCCTGTGCTGTATAACCTCCAAAGGGTGTTTTCTTCTGTAGTAACATTATTTACCCTGTTACGAGAGAGGGCTTTAAAGAAGGAATGGGGATGAATCTTGACCTTTACCTTGGTCATAATCTGGAAGGCAGAAGCAGGATATACAGAAAAATAAATTATTTAGTACTGAATATAACAGCTCACTATAAATATGCATATAAGGAAATTACATCTATAGGGTGGCTGGTTCTCTTTGAGAAAGACAGGAAAGGTTAGGTGTGGCAGACATACCTAGATTCATACTTTAGAAGGGTGATTTTCATGGTAGTATAAACCATCAGGTCAGCTTGTCTGGGGGCGTCTCTCTAGGTCCCAGCTTTTTTCTTAGGCACTGAATCTGGAGATGAACGATACCCAAGTCCAAGTCCTGTCCTTGAGGGACTTACAGCCTCACTGTGGAGACACATAAACACATAATTTTATTATGAAGAGATAAACAACGTGACATAACTATATCCAGGGCGCTATGGAAAACAGCTCAGCCCAACACTTCAAAATTCCCTGGAGTCCAAATCTGAACTGCCTTGAAGGACGAGTAGGAATTCAACTAGTCAAAATGGAAGGAAATGATTCTGAGGTCTGGACTTGCTTCACTGAGTCAGTAGTTTCGAGTGCCACTGACCCAGGCTAAGAATCCACTCAAGAAGCCAGAAGAATCTGAGTGGGTGTTTGTGCTAGAGAAAGGTATAGTTGGTTGCGGCTGGTCTTCGGCCAGATCCTTGTCAGCTAGAAGGCAGACTGTCAGGAATGTGATGCCCACGGAGAGCCTCCTGTTTGTATGCATCATTCTCAGCTTTGGACATGTATTAGCTGATTTCACCCTCACAGCAATACTATGAATTAAGTTAATTTTATCGAGGATGCCACAGTTCAGAATAACCTGCCAAAATGAGACAGTAGAAAGTAGCGAGCTGGGATTTGAATTAAAACAATTTGGTTCAAGAGTCTGCTCTCTTAGGTACTACGTGCATTATTCTGCCTGTAAGTGAAGGTTGTTTGGTTGAGAAAGAGATGTTTTATTACTATAAAACCAGTTCCTTTTTAACATCTTTTACCAGAGGAATATAGTTTTTATTCTATTTTATATCTTGTTTTCCACAGCAGCATTGCTTACCCTGCATTAAGTAGGCAGTGCTCCTTAGTGTCCAAAGAAATGTTCTTATTGCAGGAGATATTTTATTTTTTGATATATTTGTGTTTGTTTTTTTTTTAAGATTTATTTATTTGTGCATACAGAACTGGGGGACAAGCCAGAGGTGCAGGGGTGGTGAGAGGATTCACCAGAGACAGAGAGGGGAGCACAACAGGCAGATCGTCAAAGTACACTGCTGAGGGGAGCAGCGTGCAGTTCAGGATAGGCCTGCCATGCCATGTGGGTCACCTCCGGGGCAGGTGGGGATGAAACTCTTGCTGAAGTGGTTTTAGCTTCTTAGTGCTGTGCCTTTAATCCGCTGCACCACCAGGTAGGGCCTGTGTTTCTTATGAGTTCTTATTTTTGTCCAACATGAATTTGGAAGAGGGAAAAGCAGTAAATGCCAGTGGAGAATAACAACACAGAAGTGGTACAGAGCCTCTTAGCTTGGGCATATGGAGGTGTTGCCAATTACAATTATGATTTCTAGGAACTTATTTTTAATTGTTTGCACTTATCTCCTTACATGGTGTTAAGTTCATTATACCACATTTAAGATGGAATGGAAGTTAGGAAATGTTCCATTTGTTATTGTTTCTAAAAATGAGGAAGATAATATTGGAAAATGGGTGTCTCAGACTAAGAGGGATTTGAGAGGGCTGTTAGCATTCTTCCAGCATACCTTGTATTTCATCACACACCTCCCTACTCTTCTTGTTATGAGCTAAAGTTCATATTAAAGTGAAAATTAATCATATGTAGACCATAAAAGGAATCACAACAAATCTACAAGGGATGAAGACATAGTGTATGTAACAGACCATGTAGAAATGAACTAGGATTCAGTAACAGAAAGGCAACTAGAAACTCTGCAAACATATGATAATTAAGCAATAAATTTAATGTTTTATAAATATTTGGAAAAACAGTGAACTTCAGGGTAGCCTAAGGAAGAATAAAAGAAAATATAAATTATCAATATCAAGAATGAATATTACTATGCACCCTAACTACTTGATGAGTTCAACATTAAATCACAGTGGAAAACAAAATATTTTGAATGGGTTGATAATGAGATGTCAAAAGTGTAAGCTACAGTTAACTTATAAGATACAGCTAAAACACTTCTTAAGGGAAATTCTTTTAAATGATTCCATCAGTAAATAACAAAAACCATGGCTATAAACCTACATTTTAATAAGTAGAAAATTAAACCAAATTTAACCAAAGTGAAAGGAATAAAATAATAAAAGAGTAGAAATCAATGAAATAGAATACAAATCAATAGAGACCAGCCAGAAAACGGTTCTTTGAAAAGACTAGTTTGATGAATCCTGAGCTAGGCTGCTGATGACAGAAAACACACACTGTCAATATTAGGAATAAAAAAGAGGACATTGCTATAAGAGGATGTTATGAATAAAATGATATGTACAGATTAATTGGAAAACTAAAAACTAGATATCTAAACCATTATTTGAAATTTACATGTAAAACATTATTAAAATGGAAAGCATTCTGAATCCTTTACTGTTTTAGGTTCTAATCTCTCAGTAACTGTGAATTATTGTACTTAATATAAGGACCTCACAATACTGAAATTTCAGTGTTTTTCCTTTGTAGGCTTGTTATGCTGCCTCTGCAGTTGGATACCTGACAGGCAGGTAAACAAAAGTCTGCTTTATTTCAACTGATCTATCTTTAACACAGCTTCTTTTTTTTTTTTTTAAAGATTTATTTACTTATGCATACAGAACTGGGGTGCAGGCCAGAGGTACAGGGGCAGGGAGAGGATTCACCAGATTAAGAGTGGGGAGTAGAACAGGCAGATCAACGAAGTGCACTGCTGAGGGGAGCAGCGGGCAGGTCAGGAGAGGTCTGCTCCACCATGTGGATCACACCCAGGGCAGGGATCGAACTCATGCTGAAGTGGCTTTAGCTTCTTAGTGCTGTGCTTTAATCTGCTGCATCACTAAGGAGGGTCCAAACACGGGCTCTTAAGAAAGTACTTTATAAATGTCCAGCAGCAAACTGAATTACACTGAGTTATCTTTGCTTTGCATGCTTGGCCTAGAAAGTGACATCTGGAGAAAAACATTCAAGTTAGATTTTTAAAAATGTGGAATAGAGCTTTTCATTTCAGAATTATTCTCTGTCAAAGAGAATTTGTTAAGAAAAAAAAAGCAACATTTTCCCCCATATAAAAATGTACACAGCATCAAAAATCTGCTGTATGAGGTTAAGTTGGTTTAGCTCAACTATGACCTATTCAAAATATGCAGAGGTAAGCACCTTATTTCTTGCAGGAAAATTGACATAATCTCCCCCACCCTCAAATTCAAAAGCTATTCTAATAATTGCTTTTCCAATTGAAGTAAAGATCTATATGTCCTGCCTTTAAAGTTCAAAAAGGTTGCTGTGTTTCACTGTGCAATGATATGAATCTGGTATTGCATTTGACTTGCTTCAGTAAAATAAATTCTGTTTGCTTCTAGGCCGGGAGCTTGCCTTGTTGTTTCTGGCCCAGGTCTCATTCATGCCTTGGGTGGTATGGCAAATGCAAACATGAACTGCTGGTAATTGCTTTGTTGTTATTGAAATTATTTTCCTAAAACTTTCAGTGTATGACTTTACCTTGCAGAGCAAATACTCATCTGGGACAGGAAGATGTAGAACCAAGTGTTTAAGAGAATGGCTTAAAGATCCCAGTTCAGCATATAAAAATGAGAATGCAGCTAATTCTTCACTATTTATTACATAATTAACAAGATATTATAATTCTTATATGCTGTTTAGTACTTAATTTGTTGTCTTGCCCATAGCCCTATTTCTAGTACTTTACCTATAAGATCATGATAGAAAGGGTTACTGTAATCAATTCATAAAATATTTAGTCTTCCTAGGAGAAACAACATAGTGGTCTTTCTCTCTAGGAGCTTGTTACAGTTCCTCCTATCCTTTCTTCCTTCTTAGTTTTCTCTTTCTTACCTTACTTTAGAGTCTAATTTTTATAAAAGTAACTTTAGGTTTACTGTATTTTTTTTCTCCTTGAAGGATAAAAATTTAATTATTAAGGATTTTTTTTTCTCATTCTGTCATATCCAATAGACTCACTTATGAAAGTATGGGGGGAAAAATCTTCTCTTCTTAATCCCAACAATAATAGGGCATTAAAATTCATTTTATATCACCACATGTAGAAGTTTAGGTCAGCTTCCAAAATGGGGACATGGAATGTTTACTATAAATTTCAGATTTTTCTAAATATGAGGAAGGATTTCCCTATCTCAGGCTGTTTGCTACATCTTTTTCTTATCGACAGTTTTTAAGAGAAAATGCAATCATCTCTTAACGTTTCATCAATATTTATTATTCAATGGACATTCTGTTGAGTACTTTTTAATCTCATGTGAAATTTTCTTTTGAACAAATCAAAATACTGCAGGCCCTTGATTGTGATCGGCGGTTCCTCTGAAAGAAGTCAGGAGACCATGGGAGCCTTCCAGGAGTTTCCTCAGGTGCTCAACGCTAAAATCTCTCCTCCAGAGTTTAGTAGCATGATTGCATCCATTAAGGTTCATGGCAAAGAAATAAAAACTCTCTGCAAAATAAACAATTAAAATAAAACAGATACCTGAGGTAACTTAATTTTCCTCAACTACAAGACGGTCGTCATGTGGATGGTAAGGAGCAGTCAGTTGTCCAGAAGTTACACCTTCTTGACAGGTTGGAAGTTCTTTAAAGAGTTAAGAAGATGAAGAAATATAAGTGGGTTGGGGTTATGCTTCTCAGACTTTTAGGAAAGTAAAAAGTTGTGAGGGAAAATCCTACTTAAAAGTGAACTCTGGACAGCTTCATTTTTATCTTAGAAGAATTTTAACTGTCAGTAAATATTGTCAGTTTCCCTACTCTCACCAGCATTTTATGAGAGGGCCTGTTTTTCTGTGTTGTGACAGATTCTGGATATTATAAAACTTGTTTATAGTTGTCAGTCTGAGAAATGAAAATGCTGTCTTGTTTTGATTTGCTTCCTGAATCTAAGGCAGATTATTTGATTGTACTTTGCTTAGACTTTTAAGAAACGGTTCAAGAAATGTGTTTTTCAATCTTGCCTTGAACATAATAGAAAGTAATGACTTTCCTTCAGAAGCGTAATATGATTTGTAAGCAGAATTTTAAGTGATTTTCTTTTTGCCTATAGGTTGAAGCTTGTAGGTTATATAGCAAGTTCTCTGCCCGGCCAAGCAGTGTAGAAGCTATTCCCTCTGTGATTGAAAAGGTACAGTATTTAATTACTCTAAATTTAAGCCCTCCAAATTAGCGGTTTTGTTTTTATTTCCAATAGAATCAATAGCAATTAGTAGTATGTCCAGATAACTAAAAATGTTATCGATTGTTAAAGAACTATTTACATCTTACTGTTTACTGATATTATATTTAATTATGAAACAGATAAAAAGCTTTGGAAAAAAGTTTCTCCTCTAATTTTAAAATTTTTTTAATTACATGAAAGTATAAGGAAAGATACAATTAAATCTTATGTTTTTTGCAAAAAAAAAAAATCATTCCTAAATTTCTGACAATATCAATGCATATAAGGCCATCTTTTAGTGGATTTAACAGCATTTTATAAATTAATTTTAGTTAACCAGCATTTATATGTGAAGCTACAATTGAGCTGTTTCAAAACCAGTTGTAAAGAAATGTTTGACAAGTGTTACAACATCACTATTTCTGAAAACTTGGCCAAATTAGGATTAGGAATCAGGTGAAAGTACATTATCACAGAGTAAATACTGGTCGTGCAGAACCTATTAGCTAACTTTTATACTGAAGCCTGATATAGAACATGAATTTTAAAGACCTCAGTGACTTAACTTTTTTTTTCTATCTCTTTTAAACAAAAATATCTTCTAAAATATTTAGAATCAGTACAGGATATTTTGACTTTAATTAAAAGTATTTCTTCATCCAAGAATGTCCAGGAAAATTAAAATAACATTCATTTCATAATTTTAAATTATCTTTGAGTCAAATAATATACTAAGGGTTGAAATTTTTAAAGTATTTTCTCCTATTTGTCATAAACTTAGGCAGTGAGAAGCAGTATTTACGGTCGTCCAGGTGCTTGCTATATTGACATACCTGCAGATTTTGTGAACCTCAAGGTGAATGTGAATTCTGTCAAGTGAGTATTGCTTACACTGAAATTATTTTTTTAATATATTTTTTATTTCTTTACATCATTTTTCATTTTGTGCATTTTTTATCTCAGTTTTAATTAATTGTATTGTCATATTGCCTAACTTTTAAAATGTTTTAGGATTTGCCCAGCAGTTTCTACATTAAACTTCATTTATCTTAACCTGTCATGATTTAGTCTTTAAACTGAATCCCAGTCAAAGGGCTCATTCTCTTAATTAAAATGGTACTATTTAGTAATTATTTGGTTTAATTACTAAGTCAGATATTTGGAGCTTCCTGAACACCTCATTTGAAATTATTCTTCTAGTCACTATAGATAATATATCCCCATTAATGGTTGTGTGGGTTATTTAGAGTTTCCATGGTATATACCAAGAGGTGAGGGGACTGCAAAACAATTATTAGGACTCAGCATAAGAGATTTTAATTGCTTTCTGATTTAAAAATATTACAACACAAATGTTACTATTAATTGCCAGCTTTCATTACTGCTTAAATAAGCATTGAGTGAATAAGCACAAGAAATTTTCACCTGTACCTAAGGCACCCTTGGTATGGAAAGGTACTTGGGTTAATATGTCACTCTGGGGGCTACTTAGAACATTCCTTCTGCTGTGGACCAAGTGGGCCTCTACTGCAGAGAGAGTAGACTTTTCTGTACACTCACTATACCAAGGTGTGGTTTCTACTTGGGAAAATCAGATAAAATGACTGTCTATCCTGCATGATACTTGAACATGTTAATCAAAATCATAATATAGAGGAGCAACAGATATAACAACATATAAACCTTTTTAAAACATTTTGTAGATCTTATTTATCTGTCCTTTTTTTGTATTATATGTCCCAGTTTTGTACAGTGTGATGCTTTGAAATTAGAATGAAAGCACTGAGGACTTGATGTATAGAAGTGGCCATTTTATATTTCTTTTGCTAAAGTATAATGTGATACTAAAATGTTGATTTACCCAGTTGGTAGTCATAGAGTGACATAGATAAAAACATGGAGTTTGGAGACAGAATGACCTAGTTCAGCGATTTCTGCCATGTACCTTCTGAGAACTCGGGGAAACAGGCTTTCTGAGTTTTGCCTTCTGCAATGGTAAAATGGAGGTGATGGTAATACCTAAGCTCATTATTTAAAAATTCAATGAGGATAACTGGCACATAATAAGTGTTAAATATTAACACTTTAACATTTTAGTATGTTTTTAACTGTTATCCATTACTACTACTGCTATACACAGACATTATCTCAAATTTCTTTTCAGTGAATTACTAATTTGACTGTTACACGCCACTCAGAGATAATTATGAATTTACTAGATGTAATAAAGATTCTGTTATACAGGATAAAGTCTATCTTTTAGGGCTGCAGGGGATGCTTTTAAATTTTGATACCTATAATTTACTTTTAAATGGCAGAGGAAAGACTATACATACACGTTTATGTGTAGACGTGAGACGCAAATGTAGAAAAATGACATCAGCTGTTGTATGTACACGGTAGCTTAGTACATGGCATTGACTGGCCTCCTTTAATCAGCAGACTCTTGTTTCCAGGTACATGGAGTGTTGCATGCCCCCTCCTGTGAGCATGGCAGATACCTCTGCCGTTTATGCAGCAGCATCTGTTATCAGGAGTGCCAAGCGACCCCTTCTTATCATCGGGAAAGGTAACATTGACTGGAACTCTAAATCTGTCTGGGCTTTTGTAAAAAGAATGCTGATTCTAGAAATCGTCTACACTATTAACATGTTCTCTAGTGTTTGAAACCAGAACGAGTTATCTCCCTCTATTCAGCACACTGCTTGAGCTTAACTGACTTGCCCAATACATCTGCCTCTCGTAGGTGCTGCCTATGCCCATGCAGAGGACAGTATCAGGAAACTGGTGGAGCAGTGTAAGTTGCCGTTTTTGCCCACCCCCATGGGGAAGGGTGTTGTCCCTGACAACCATCCAAACTGCGTGGGTGCTGCCAGATCCAGGTGTGTGCCGCTCCGGATTTTAAATACAACAGCTTGGCAGAATTTAGGCTAATTTAAATTATTTTGTGGCTTTACTGAATCTAGTAGTTCTGAAAGAATCATGTAATTTTAAACACAACTGTTTCTTTGTAGGCTTTAAAGATGTTGTCCACAGTCATTTAAATCAAGATGGTCTTAAAGTGGGTCTTACTTTGACAGCCACGCTTATTTTTAATGCAGCCAGACTTGTTGTCTTTTCATTTACCTCACTCATCTTTGGAAATTAAAAAATTAGAAGTTTAACAGAAATGTTAAAATATGTAATCAAGCTTTTAGAAATATGCTCAATTGTAATTTTTGAAAGCAATTCAGGAATATCAATCAATTGTATTAAAAATAACTGCTCTTTTGAATCAATATTAAGGGTGTTTTATGAGCCAAGCAAAAAGACACTAATAATTTTAAAGAAAATGTCCAAAAATTGAGAAAAAAATTGAATTGTTTGGTGTATTCAGGAAAATGTGTTGCTTTTAAAGTTGTATTTTTAGGAACTTAACGATAAAAGTTAATGATAAATACAAGTGCTCAAAACAATGTTATAGTAAATAAACTCAACCATAATAATATACTTGTACAGGAAAAAAGGCTAAATGAAAACATCAGGATTTTAACAATAGTTTTATAAGTTGATATTATTGGGAGACTTTTTTTTTTTCTTTATGTTTTTTGCAGATCATCAATGTGATCTTGTACTAATTTTCTAATGATTAATTTATTTCATCAATGAAATAGAGCATAAATAGTCATATGGTAGCATTTTTATATTTTAGATTACTATTTAAATAGAATAGCTTCATAAATTATTTTAGCTTGAAAATTCACATATGTGATTCTGAAGACAGATGTAAGTAGCAAATTACTTAAACTTTCCAAATACTTTAGAAATTAATTTAGAGTAATTCAAATAGAAATATAGATAGACTGTTTGTGTTACATAATACTTTTCTTCTTGATAGGGCTTTGCAATTTGCTGATGTAATTGTGTTACTTGGCGCCCGATTAAATTGGATTTTACATTTTGGACTTCCTCCAAGATATCAGCCAGATGTGAAGTTTATCCAGGTACCCAGAGAGCAGATTTAAGATTAGAGCTAGCTGTGGTTCAAAACATCTCAGTATCACCTGGGTACTGTTAGAAATGCACATTTTCAACCTTATCCCAGCCCTGTTGAGATCAGAAGTTCTGAATCTAGTAGTTCTGAAAGAATCTAGAAATCTGCAATTTAACCAACCTACCAGGAGACTTCTGATAAATATTCAAATTTGAGAATTTTTGCTCTAAATAGGAATTCCAATGTAACTAAACAGAACCTTATTCATTATCAGATCCAAAACTGTAACTTATGTCAAATGCTGTGTATAATGAATGGCACAATACCCAAATCTGCAGAGTGAATTTTAAAATGAGGGAAGGTGATAAGCTTTCCATATTAGCAACGATCCTCATAGTTGTGTGGATTTTTACTTTTATTTTAAACTTCTAAAATATCCAATGTTTCTTTATCATATGTTATATATACACAGTTCATTTATTCAGCCTTAACGCCTTAAGTCAAAGATTTTTAAGAATGAACATGGTTCATTGTTGAACCTTGTCTCTTTCTTAGATTGATATCTGTGCAGAAGAATTGGGGAACAACGTGAAGCCTGCTGTGACTTTACTGGGAGACATAAATGCTGTCACTAAGCAGGTGAGAGCTTTTGCCTGTCTCAGTTCTGTGACTTGCTCTTTAAGGGATAGTCACTTCATGAAAATGTTTTCATCTTGATTCACTTGTTTGGATATCTGTTTTAAACAAAACCTGCAATGGAAAGCTGTTCTTTTTAATATTTTATTTTATTTTTTTAACATGATTTTTCATCTTTTGCATTTTTTAAATCTCAGTTGTAATCCCTGTGGACTTACCACCAGCAATTTACCCGTGTGCCATCACCATAGTCCCGTGTACTCTTCCCACCCGTTTTGATCTCACTCCCCTTTCCACCCCAGGAGAGCTATCCTTAATTATAGCTTTGGAGCTTCATAAATTCAACTGTATATAGAACATTTTTATATGTAGAAGTTAAGCATTTTTCGGAGGGTGAAAATTTAAGGTAAGCAAACAGTGATATACTAAGTGGGATTCAGGTACCCAACAAAATTATAATCTGGCTTCCAGAGAAACTGAATTTACAGCTGAGAAATGGCTTTGTATACTAGGAAAGAAATCTAACTTAGTATTCTTTAATATTTAGTATGTATAAAAAACAAAGAGATAATTTGCTCTTTAGACTGTTTACGGCTTGTCCAGATTTTTATTATTTGTACATAATTTGTAGATTTTACTGTGACAATAGATAATCAGATATATCATATTTGATTTTGGATACACATTGGTATTATTACAATGATTATACGGTATTTGGATGTACTCCCTAATTATTTGGAGCAACCAGCCTTCCTGTCAGGGGTCTCTTTAAGGGATCTCTCTAGTGTCAAAGGCTAAGGAGGACTGAAGAGGCTGCCTGCGAGGTGTGGGGAGGCAATACTCACTCTGCCTACAGGACCCTAACCCTGACATCTGGTAGAAGCCCACACTGACCCAAACAAAACTTCCATGTTTCCAGTTTATCTTCTGCCAGTTGTTTGCTACTGAGAAGTAAAGAAAAAAAAAAAAAGGAGTGAAGGGTAGTGAAGCAGTATTGTCTTCTTTAAGAATAGATTTTTGTGTTGTTAAGATTTAAGTTTATTTTCAAAAAGAAAAGAAAAAGTTTGTGATTTTTCAGCTTTTGGAACAGTTTGATAAGACACCATGGCAATATCCTCAAGACAGCAAGTGGTGGGAAACTCTGAGGAAAAAAATGAAGAGTAATGCAGCAGCATCTAAGGTAATGCAGCACCCACCAACACACAGGAGTGCCGCAGGGAAGAATGTAGCACACCTACTCTGAAAACCACCACGCTATGCAAAGCCACGCAAAAACGCATAGGACTTATGGGAAAACAGACTTGGGGTACAACGCTCAAAAACTTCTGAAAAATTAGATAGTAACCTTATAAAAATGGTAAAGTTTATGTTAAATGGCTAAGAAATACACACACTGCAGTAAATATGCCACTTTACCTTGAAATAGACCTGCAGTTTCTTGCGGAAGTGGGTGTCAGAAGGGCTGCAGCCGGGGAGTTGCTGTGGTGAGGGAGGGGTGCTGACACCCTCCAGGACAGGAAGCCCTGGAAGCCAGCATGGGGTGTCACGCGTTGTCCTCAGTTTGACATCACCTGGGATCATGGTGAGGAGGTCTTTAGAAACCTTCAATCTGGTTCATGTTTTCCTAACTTTAAGATGAAGATCTTTCAAGGCAAGCTTTCATCATACATAGCTTTATAATCAAAATTGAATTTTTGATCTGATATACAACCGTTTTTTAAAAATTTCAGATTAATCAGGTATAGCTGACATCCAAAATTATAAGACATTTGAAATTACAATGGGCATTTATGTTGCTGTTGTATAAAGATTCTGCCCATCTGCCCATCAAGCTAAGAAACAGAGTCTATTCCCTCACATATTTTTCTTTTTTCCTTCTCTTTTGAGTGAGATGGCTATAACAGTTTTCAAATAATTGGAAATTACTTTGTGACTTTCTCATTTGCACTATTTGCACTTATTTGCACTCATTTGGCTTTATCTGAAGCCAAAGACTTCAGAAACTACAGTTACGCGTGAACCACCAAACCATCCATTACCAACACTAAAATGAACCACTTCTGGAGGGCTTGATGATTTTCATTTATAGTCTTTGTATTAGATAATGCTTTCTCTTTGATTTTGAGAAAGGTTGACCCTGATTTTTTTCAATATTTTGTGTATTTGTATGCACCTCAGTTCAATTAGGTGCTGTTTTCTGTATTCACTAGTGCTTCTCACTGATAGAATTTTTCATGAGCAAATACAAAATTCAAGTGATGCTATCTTGTTCCCTAAAATATCAGTCATCTTGAAATAAATTTGCATTTTCAAAACAACCATAATTTATGTAAGGTGATTCAGTCTTAAATGGGAATGTAAGAGCTAAGCTGAGCTCTTATAAATCAGTGACTTTCTCCTATCAAGAACTGATCTCACTTTTATTTCCCACTTGGTATCAGGAGTCATCCCCTTTTCTCTCTAGGAATCCCTTTAGTTTAAGTTGGAAGGAACTTGCCCCAGGAACACGGGAGGGTCCCCCATCCATCTCTGGAATAGTCTCCAGCAGATCAAAGAAATACAGGAAACAGGCTGTGCTGGGATCTCACAGGACTTGCTACTAAAGAGCCCACAGACCTTTTCTCTGCTCTGAAATGCACATGGCTAGACAAAAGTATTGACCTAGCTGTTTCTTCCTCCTTTCAGAGACATTTTAGAATAGTGGAGATAACATACCATTTACTCTTCAGTATATGTGGGAAGAACCAGATTTTCAGACTTCCTAAAAGCCTGAATTCACTTTTATTTTAGGTATAGGACCATACTTCATAAGAATATATTCTAGAATGAAAATTTCACTTTTTCTAAGGCAATATTTTTTCCTATATTGTTCAAATAAAACTAGTTTTTGTTCAAGCTAGTGCTTCTAGTTATTGTTAGTATAGGGCTTCTTCTTAGTCTTTAAGATGCTAATGTGCATTGTGGAGCATCAGAAAAATGAATAGTTTCTAACTTAATGGGTTGTTGGAAGTCATGATGCACTTTTGCTTGAAAAACAGAAAAAATATTATGACTTCTCTGACACACCAATACTTGATTGTGTCCCAAGGTGGGGCACTGGGACCCATTTTCTTACATGTCCCCCAGGACTATTCCAGAGTGGCCATTTGAGGACCTTGTCACTTGAAATTGTTGCCTATTTCTAAATAGGTTTGAGACATAGTAGCTTATTGCTGTTATTTATTTTCATTGTTTTTAACCTAATTGGATTATATTTCCCTGTACTATTTTAGGAATTAGCTTCCCAAAAATCCTTGCCTATGAATTATTACACAGTATTCTTCCATGTTCAAGAACAACTGCCCAGAGACTGTTTTGTGGTGAGCGAAGGAGCAAATACAATGGATATCGGACGCACTGTGCTTCAGAACTACCTTCCTCGTCACAGGTGAGGCTTCCAAAAGGAAGAAATTATAATAAATTAAATTTGAGACTAAAATGATGCAGCTTAATAAAACAATGGTGAAGTATACAATTTCAGGGGGTTAAGGACTACCTCATAAATGTACTGAGGAGAGGCATTATAGAATTTTAGTGCCTCCCAGCCTAACCAACGTTATATTGAAAAGAATGGTTTTGTTGTTATTTTTTGCTGAGGCCTGTGAAGTTGGCTAGCCATAATCAGCACCCCATGACATGCCTACAGGGTTTCATTTTTAACTCCATTCCCCAACAGGCTGGATGCTGGTACTTTTGGAACGATGGGAGTCGGTTTGGGATTTGCCATTGCGGCTGCTATGGTAGCTAAAGATAGAAACCCAGGGCAGTGGGTCATCTGTGTGGAAGGAGACAGCGCATTTGGGTTTTCTGGCATGGAAGTGGAAACCATCTGCAGGTAAGACAGTGTCCTGAATCACGGTATTTCTTTCTGCAAAATATGAAAGCTAGACCCGAGACCCCTCACTTAACACATACCTAGCAAGTGCTTCCCTCCACCTCGCTCCCTGCGCACCTCACTGTACTGTGTCCTGAGACATGGCATCTTCCTCACCCTGAACAGCGTGTTCCCGACCTCTGTCCTGCAGCCCTGTACCTGCCAAACTGGAGGGAGTGGCTTTGAGGTCACCAAGGAAAGCTTTGTTTTCTGCAAGGAGACAGAGAACCAGATGGTTAAGAGGCTGGCCTGGTTCAATTACAGCAGAACCAAGTGACGGGCTCAGTCACTTCATCTACCCTCTGTCTCTGCCAAAACAGGGGTAGGAATAATAGTAATCATTACCTGAGAGGGCAGTTGTGAAGACACGAGAACATCTGAGTAACATCGAGGTGACAGCTCAGTGAAGGTGAGCGCTTCAGACTGTTTGACGTGGAGAGGATGCACACGGAAGCTCATGAGTTGTACCTCTGTGGATGAATGGGGAGTTTTATTTAAATGTAATAAAACTGTTCTTGCTCTAGCCAGGAGTCTTATTAGTGCTTTTGTAAATAAATCATGTTTGCTACTGTCAAAACTTTGTATATCAAACTGTCAGGATTAGTGTGTGGCTCTGAGTGTGTTGACAACCAAGTGATACTCACTCAAAAAGTGATTTTGGGGAAGTCAGTTCCCTTTGAGAGGAGAGAGCACTTCCACAGTCCTGTCACTTAAGAGTATGCAGTTTAGCTTTGGTTTTCCATCTTATCTCAGAAACAAAAATCTTATCTTTGTCTATCATTCATAAAATTTAGCTTTTTCTAGTCTTTACCTTATGATTGCAGGTTGCACATTGTTAAATACTCTCTTCTCTGATTATTATACCATGTAATATTTTTCTAATTTTGGGTGAAGTGGCTTGAGAGTAGAATGCTCATCGCTGGCATTCGTCTCACGGCATCTAGCAAGTCTTAGTTGCCATTAAAAAAAGGAGCTTTCCAGCCCAAATGCCCAAAAGTAGATGACTGGATAAAAAAGATGTGGTACATATATACAATGGAATATTACCCAGCAACCAAAAAAGAGAAACACATGTCTTTTGCAGCAACTTGGATGGAGCTGGAAAAGATCATGCTTAGTGAGATAAGCCAGAAAGAGAAAGAAAAATACCGGATGGTTTCACTCATAGCAGGAGTATAATGGACCAGGCGAGAAAATAACAAAAATAATGAACAACCATATACCAGAGACATTCTGTGGGGGCGGAGTGGGGAATGGGATCAAAAACGGGGGGGGGAAGGGAGGGAAATGCACGGGACTAGGGTGGTGGCACAGGGGTGATCTGGTGATGGGAAACCCGCGGGGATTACAATCGAGATGGAAAAAAAAAAAATGTGCAAAATGATGTAAAAATAAACTTTGTAAAAAAAAAAAAAAGGAGCTTTCAACGGGGGTGGGGGGGATGGGAAACCCGCGGGGATTACAATTGAGATGGAAAACAAAAATGTACAAAATGATGTAAAAATAAACTGTTATAAAATAAAGAAAAAAAGAAAGGAGCTTTCAAACTATGCTCCTTGGTGCCACCTGAAGCTGGTGCTTCAGCTAGTACTGATATCACCTGGATCTGTGGAAACCAAAGGTTCAAAAAGCTCAGTGGTTTGTCCAGAGTCCATAGTTACATAGCGGTAGAACAATTATGCCGGCCCCTAATCTTGTATTCCAAATACCATCCTATGATGTTTTGTGGAAGATTTTGATATTTTTCATTAGGATAACAATGCTTACTTTTCAGTTTCACCCTAATTACAAAAAAAAAAAAAAGAGCATGTGGATAACTTTTTTACTAAAATCTCAGACCAAAGCAAAGTAGTTGCTTTACAATAAAGAATGATTTCCTCTCAATTTTAGGTACAACTTACCAATCATAATTTTGGTGGTAAATAACAATGGAATTTACCAAGGCTTTGATAAGGATACTTGGAAGGAAATGTTGAAAACTGGAGATGCTACTGCAGTGTAAGTAACCCAGAACAAGGTATACTTGCTTTCTCTCGTCTGTTTTAATCTGTCTTTCAAAAGACAGATGTGCCACTTTGGGGAGAGTCACTTATGTGTATCATCGACAGTTCTAAAGGGCAGGGACTCCATCTGTCTGGTTCCACTCTGCACAGACACCCAAATTGGACACTTCAATAGATACTCTGATCAGGAAGCTTCTAAGGCTTGAATAGATGAGTTCAATGTTTCAGCCCAGCTCTGAGCTTAGCCAGGCACTCCCAGTCCGAGACTCCCCCTACACCATGCAGGAAACATGGGTGTCTACCTGTATTTGTGACCCAGAGGTCCTCCTTCCTCTTACCACTTAGCTAGACCTTGATCATCTTAGGGCAGAATCAAACTGAGACAGTATTGAAGCCAGCACTGGGGTGTGAGAGATGTGAATCTGTGAGTCAGCCTGTTTGAAGCAGAGTATGGGAATGTTTGCTTATGCCTCACTGATGTCATTTGGTCAAGTTATCATGGTCGCAATTCATATGTTGAACAGCACAGATAGAAACATTTCCATCATCACAGAAAGCCCTATTGCCCATTGCTGTACAAAACATAAAATAGATGGAGAGTTCAGCATACCTGCCTCTCAGTTTAAGTCTTGGTCATAAAATAATGCCTTTCAGTTCAATTCTAAGATCCCAAAAATAATTTCAGAGAATGATGTTCTCTTGTGAACTTCTCCTTCAGGGTCCCTCCAGTCTGTCTCCTGCCAAACTCACATTACGAACAGGTCATGACCGCATTTGGAGGCAAAGGGTATTTTGTGCAGACACCAGAAGAACTTCAAAAATCCCTGAAGCAGAGCCTGGCAGACAGAACCAAACCCTCACTTGTCAATATCATGATTGAGCCACAGGCGATGCGGAAGGCCCAGGTAAATGCAGACACTAGACAGAAAGCAAGAAAGGCATTAGCTTTCCCACCCTCAAACATAACGGCCAAATAGCATACTCTGTGATTTACAGAGTTCTTTCTAAACCATCTCTGAGTTTGGCACTTTGCATTTATTTGTTCAGTGAATGTTTGCTTAGCTGTGTGTGCTGTGTCAGGTGTTAAGAATAGTGTGATGAGCAAAACCAGGCCAAGCCCACACCTCATGCAACTTTCAGTCCAGGAGGGGTGAAGGGCAGTCCACTCACCTCACACTGACTCACGGTGAGGTGAGGCCTGTGCTTTTAAGGAAAGGAACTTGGTTTTGAATGAACATATAGCAAAGTACCCTGACTTACAGTGGAGTCACAGAGAGGGCTTCTCAGAGGAGGTGAAGCTTAAACCAAAGTCTGTAGGGCAAGGGTGGGTAGACTCAACAAAGACATGAAGAGATGTGTGGAGTCTCTGCTAGGATGGAGGCTGGCAAGTGTAAGGAACTAAAAGAAGCCCAGAGTGGCTGACGACAGTGGAGGAAGCACAGTGGGAGACGTGATTGTCTTGGGACAGTTTGTGCTGTGAAGTGAGTTACTTCTGTCTCTAAAACAAAGCTCCCATATCAATTATATCAGTAAAATAAATGCCAAGTGTGTGGCATAAGCCTCTTCCAAGACCGGAAGACTAAGTTGTCTTTCCTGCTGCCTTGCTCTGACCTGCTTTTGCACCCCTATCTCCTATGCTGACATCCCACATATAAGCGAATGTTTTCATAGCAGGTCATTTTTTCTGTTTCTGTTTTGCTTTTCATACACCTGTCTGCTGTGAGGTCTTTCTCTGTTTTGACAAATGAGCAAACAAATAACTCAGACAGCTTGTGAAGTGTAAATTAACCAATTTGAATACTATAAAAGATAGACTTCTACTGAAATTTTCTGTAAAAATAGATTCAAAGACTTTGATGAAAGGACTAGAGAAAAATCCTCAAAAAGCCAGAAAACAGTTAACAAAACAGCAATAAGGACATACATATCAATAAATAATTGCTTTAAATGTGCTATTCTACAATGAACTAAGGTCTCCAGTCAAAAGACAGAGTGGCCACTTTTATATACAGAGATCCACTGTTGTCTCTCAGAAACTCACACCAGATGTGAAGGCATACAGATTGAAAGTGAAGGGACAGAAAAAGATAGTCAATGCAGGTGAGAAATAAAAGAAAATCAGCTTAGCTGTACTTACAGCAGACAAAATAAAGTGTAAAGCAAATACAGCAGTAAACAAAAAGAGGGGCATTTATATAATGATAAAAACGCTCAAGCCAACAAGAGGATGTGACATTTATAAATATGTACACAGCCAGCATAGAAGAACTCAAAACATCCACTGACCTAGAGAGACCAATGGAGAGTAATGCAGCAAGAGTAGGGAACTTGAAGTGAAGTAAAAAATTCTCATCAAAGAAAAAAGGCATTTTTGAGATTGTGTGTGGTGACCGACACTAACTGCTGTTTTTTGTTGATTATTTCATAAACATGTACAAATATCAAATAATTATGTTCTGTGCCTGAAATTAACACAGGTTTTATGTCAACTATGCTTCAATAAGAAAAGAGGTGTTGGCATTTACTTTATAGCGGAGAAAATAGACAAGGAGGACAGTAATGAGGAAAATGTGCCAAGTAACGAGGCCAGAAAGGGCATGCAGTAGGTGACCTTAGCAGGGGTTTTTGTGGAGCAAGCAGGCACACTTTTCAAAGTAAGAGTAGCAACTTCCGGAACATTCTTTCTGTGGCTTACTGATTGCTTTTTATTTATTTTTAAAAATTTGTTGAAATAATTTCAGCTTGCCAGGTATGCAATAGACAGCTTTTTAAATCTCGTGTCCTTTTATTTATAACCAGGAATGTCCTTCCCATTGCCTACAGTGTTAGTTTTGCCCTCTTCCTGGCATCAGGGTGTCAGAATACAAGCCAAACTACAGCCGCCCTAAGAGGCTTGATAAACGTGTATTCAGAACATAAATGGAAAATACAGTCTTGAGACCAGTATTAGTCACAGAAGAGCCTTGACTACCTGCTCCTTCTTTGCTAGTGAATTTACCTTTCCTACTGTGTTTCGAATGATCTGTGCTGAAAAGTTCTCATATTTGGGTGTGTGTGGGGGGGGGGGGAATTCCTGGTGAAGGTCTTATCTCCTCTTTTATAATTCCACAAGGATTAGCCTTACAGTTCTTGCATCTACCACTTCAACATTGTTTATCCTCATTCCCTTAGAAATCACACATATGATTTTCAAGCACACACAATTTTCAAGCCATTGGGTTTTCATTGACTGTACATCCATCTGCATTTTCCTCAGGCTCATGGTGTAGACTGGCGCCTCTTACTGAGACACAGGGAGCCACACTCTGCAGTGGCCAAGGTCCAGGAGGCGCACACACATGTGCACCTGTCTCCAGGGCACTGTGCTTCCTACCCAGGCTCCTCTCAGATATGGGGGCTCATCCCCCTTTGCACTGCTTTCAACTGCTCTTTTTTTTGTCGAGTGTACTTCTGTTTTTTCTGATTAGTTTTTTTGTACCCTGTGACTATTAATGGAAGAGGACCCAAAAAGTCAGATCTGGTGGTGTTTTAGGACAAGACAGCTTGTTTCCCTAAGAGATTTTTAGCTCCTTTATGGAAAAAGACAAACCACTGACAAATCTCATTAACCTCCCACTGTGACAAATGTGATTATAGTGGAAC